GCTTTTATAATCAACTTTTATTTCAACTGTTGAAATAAAATGAAATATCATACAAAGTACTAATAATTGACCGTGTAGTGGCGGTTGAGAATATCCACTACCCCATATCTTCCCGTGGGTGTCGTAAAAGGCGACAGAGGGAGACAGGCAGGAGATGGGCAGCAGCATCTTCCTGATAACAACTGTGACGTAATAAAAAACTGCGGTTGCCAACCCGCTCGCCAAGCGTGGCAACTATGGCAAATACCCCCCAATGAATAAATACACAAACAGACGGCCCCCAGTCCCCGGCGGCCCCGCTATTCCTGGCTACGGTGGCGACCATGGTAACGGCGGGGCAGGGGGTGCTAAGAATCTCCGGTGGAGGTTCGGTTGCCACCTACGACGACTCGACCTGGCAACATATAACGCACGCACCCTGAGGACTGACGAGAAGATACTAGAGCTGGAAGAAGAGGTAGACAAGTTGCGCTGGCATATTATTGGATTATCCGAGGTCCGAAGAGAGGGGGAGGACACGGCAATCCTCGAGTCCGGCAACTTGTTCTATCACCGGGAGGGCGACCATCTGTCCCAAGGAGGTGTCGGATTTATCGTCCACAAGTCTCTCGTCAACAACGTTGTAAAGATTGGGAGTGTGTCGACGAGGGTCGCGTACCTGATACTCAGAATCACCAAACGGTAAGGTCATTCAGGTTTACGCACCAACCTCGGCACATCCCGATGAGGAGGTGGAGGAAATGTATGAGAATATTTCCAGAGCCATACATTCCTCCAAAACCCACTACACGGTGTTGATGGGAGACTTCAACTTCAACGCAAAACTAGGCACAAGAGAAAGCGGTGAGCTGAAGGTAGGGAAATTTGGAGTAGGGCAACGAACCGAAGGGGCCAGCAGCTGGCCGACTTTATGGAGAAAGAGGGACTCTTTATGATGAACTCTTTCTTCCAGAAGCGGCCCCACAGGAAGTGGACCTGGTCGAGCCCCGACGGTTCGACAAAAAATGAGATTGACTTCATTATGACGACCAGACGCCAACTGTTCAGTGATGTCTCAGTGATCGCAAGGGTGAAAACTGGCAGCGATCACCGAATGGTTAGAGGCACACTGAACCTAAACGTTAAGTTGTAGAGGTCTCGTCTAATGAAGTCAACGCTCCGTCCCCCTCGTGCTCTAATCCAGAATCCCGAAACCTTTCAGCTCGAGTTACGTAACCGCTTCCAGTGCCTAGAAGATTGCAATGCAGTGGACGATATGAACGACAAGCTCGTGGAAACTGTCCATGCGGTCGGAGCTAAGTTCTGCAAGACCCGCCGCAGAAGAACACAAAAACTCTCCGATCACACTCTTAATCTCATGGCTGTTAGACAGGAGATGAGGCTGCAATCGTCAACAGATTTGACAGCATACAGGCAACTGAACAGACAGATCTCCAAATGCATGCGGCGAGACTTACGCAACTTTAATACTTCTCGTATTAAAGAAGCGATCGAGCGGAACCAGGGCTCCAAAGTCTTTGCCAGAGATCTGTCTGCCAGAAAGAGCCAACTGTCAAAGCTGAAGACTGAGTGTGGCAACATCGTTTCCGGGACACCTGAGATTTTGAGTGAGATTGAGAGGTTCTATGGGCAGCTGTACACATCATCGTTGGAGCCACACGCAAGTGTGAGTAACGATCCAAGAGCAAGTCTTATCCGACACTATTCCGATGATATCCCGGACGTCAGTCTGAGCGAGATTAGAATGGCTCTCCACCACCTTAAAAACAGCAAGGCCCCGGGCGAGGATGGAATTACAGCGGAGCTTCTGAAAGCGGGTGGAAAACCGGTACTTGAAGTCCTTCGGAAGCTCTTCAATTCCGTCCTCCATGGTGGCACTACTCCGGAGGCGTGGAGCAGAAGCGCGGTGGTTTTGTTCTTTAAGAAAGGCGACAACGCTCTCTTGAAGAACTACAGACCGATTTCCCTTCTGAGCCGCGTCTACATGCTATTTTCGAGAGTCATTACGAATCGTCTCGCACGCAGACTCGACGACTTCCAGCCTCCCGAACAAGCCGGTTTCCGAAAAGGCTTCAGTACCATAGACCACATACATACCCTGCGGCAGATTGTACAGAAGACCGAAGAGTACAATCTGCCACTTTGCCTGGCATATGTGGACTATGAGAAAGCCTTTGATTCCGTCGAAATTTGGGCGGTGCTACAGTCCCTTCAGCGGTGCCAAGTTGACTGTCGGTACATCGAAGTGCTGAAGTGTTTGTACAGTAGGGCTACGATGGCTATCCGAGTACAGAACCAGAGTTCGAAACCTATCCAACTGCAGAGAGGTGTAAGACAGGGTGATGTTATATCCCCGAAACTCTTCACCGCTGCGTTGGAAGACGTTTTCAAGCTACTGGACTGGAAAGGATACGGTATTAACATCAATGGCGAGTACATCACTCACCTTCGATTTGCCGACGATATAGTCATTATGGCAGAATCGCTGGAGGACTTAAGCATTATGCTCAATGACCTCAATAGTGCCTCCCAACGGATAGGTCTTAAGATGAACATGGACAAAACAAAGATCATGTTTAATGTCCATGTCACACCTATGCCGGTAGTTGTTGGGAGCACTATGCTCGAAGTTGTTGACGAGTACGTTTACCTGGGACAAATAGTCCGACAAGGTAAGTCCAACTTCGACCGAGAGGTCAATCGACGGATTCAACTCGCCTGGGCAGCGTTCGGGAAATTACGGCATATTTTTTCGTCAGGTATACCTCAATCTCTAAAAACTAGATTGTACAACCAGTGCGTGTTGCCAGTGATGACTTACGGATCTGAGACGTGGTCCTTCACTGCTGGCCGTATGAGGACGCTTAAGGTCGCTCAGCGAGCTATGGAGAGGGCTATGCTTGGAGTTTCTCTGCGTGATAGACTCAGAAATGAGGATATCCGCAGTAAAACCAGAGTGACCGACATAGCCCAACGGATTAGTAAGCTGAAGTGGCAATGGGCCGGCCATATAGCTCGAAGAACCGATAACCGATGGGGAAGAAAGGTTCTCGAGTGGCAGCCTCGTACCGGTAGGCGTAGTGTAGGGCGACCCCCCACTAGATGGAGTGACGACCTGGTAAGACATGCAGGAAGTCGATGGATGCAGGTGGCTCAGGACCGTGCTTTGTGGCATTACTTGGGGGAGGCCTATGTTCAGCAGTGGACTTGTGAAGGGCTGTAATGATGATGATGATGACTAATAATTACCTCTTTTATTAGTACAGTAAGTTGATTTGCAGTTAAAAATGCATTGGAGAAATAGTGGGCAATGGGCCGTTTCAGTCTTCCTAGTACTAACAATCATAAATACTAATGCATATGATGCAATGACTGAAGATGTTGTGTACTATGATCCTAATACACTTCAATCAAATCTTCTCTTGGTTTATACATCACATTTTTTTAAAGACATTTCATCAAATATCAATATAAATTAATTGTCTGATGGTTTTATAGTATTTAAAAAATCTGCCAGGCCTTAATAACTGGTCGATTGATTCCTACAGCAAAGAGTACTGAGTTAACCCTTTAATAGAGCCTGAGTAGCCTGTAACAGGTGGGTGACCTTTTATAAAGCCACATGGCTTTGATTTTCATATGTCATGTAGCTTTATCTTACAATTTCCTATTTGAACTTGTAATTACAGCGCAAATGTTGATGTTATTTTCTTGAAAAATTTTCTTACTCTATTTTCATTAGCTAAACATTTAATACAATTTTGGCTTTTAATGTTTTAATGTGATTACGCAATTGGTAGAATTTTCTTATGTATCACTTTCTTTAATTTTCTTTATTCGTCATGCACCACAGTTTTTAGTCTCTATCCCGTATTCCACTGCGAATCACTGTCAAACACATTGCACGCGCGTCCAGAACCTCAATTTCTTTCTTTTTTGTTGTAAATGTACAGTAAAAGTACTTAAAAAAATAAAACCTCTTCATCACTTGAATCCATTATTGTTGAAAATTCTCTGTCTCGATTAAAAAGTGTCTACAAATACAAAATTAACGTCAAACTTATCTTTCAACATGACAATATTTCTACATATTTGTTTTCAAACATTTTGTTTCTGCAGTTATATAGATATAATATAGTTATAATATGTAGTGTACAATAAACTGTCAAACATATTTAACTACAATATGTTTAGTGACTATGCAAACGCTTTTTGGTACATTGACAGAAAACAGTGTTTAAAACATGTTTTTTCGTGAAAATCGCGTCAGTGCAAACGCACGGTAAGACAGCAAGGGAAAAAACAATTAATTTGAATATCAATTTGTGAAGAATAGTTATTAAGCGATAACCGACAACGACACCACAAAATAACAAAACGTAAGCAGTGACATTACAGTTCACACTCGACAGGGAGTTTGACACAACATAATGATATTTTTTATGTGATCGATGCATTTAGTAAAACTGAATTACTCAAAATTTTAAACCTTTAATAGGAGATGAAATATTTAGTATATATTGATTTGGCGGGTTCACGTTGTTCACAAGTTCTTATTAACCGATTATTGGTTCATTGACATCGATGTTTAACATGTGGCAACATCGATGTTAAAACATCGATGTTTTAATTTCTAACATCGATGATCATCAAACATCGATGATCATTGAAAATTTAATTTCAAAGTCGATTTGCAATTTGTTTATTTTTGAAATTAACCTTTTAAAAATCAATAACTGCTTTAACTTTTAATTTGTTTTACAAATTTCTAAATAACTGCAATATGGCTAGTCCTTTAGAGAGATTAGGAACAATATTTACGAGGTATGTTTGTGGTTATAAATTTTCAACCTTATATTTTCTTTCCACATTAAAAAAAAAAAAAAAAAATTTAAAACGCGGTAAAATTCTTAAGCGGGAAAAATCTTGCATGTGGATAGGATTTTTATTTTTGAACAGCAAGAAATTGTTCAGTGATTACTAATTGAATTGTTGATATAATGTCCGTGATGAAGAAATCTGCTAAATCTAAATTTATGTCTGATGATCTAAATGATTTTATAAATGAATCTCAGTTCTTAAAAGATTCACCAAAAAATAAGAAGGTTCAAAAACGACTAAGACCTGAAACAACGGAAGAGAGCACTTCCAATACTGTTAACATCAATAATATAGGTTTAAAGAAAAAGAAAACGGAGGATAGTTTCGAGGTTTGTAGAGAATCGCGTCAAAAACTACTGAATGTTATGAATCATCAAATAGAGGCAAGGTATGTAAAAGCCCATGTGAAAATTTGTGTACGAAACTGTTCAATGAGTTGTATTTAGTACTGTTATACTATTCTTGCATTTCAGGAAAAAAACTAATGAAAACTTACTGAAGAGCTTATCAGAAATTGTGACTCATTTGGAGGCAGATTATAATGCCTTAAAAGATAATGAACAAAAGTTAGAACATCTTACAGGAGCATTCATTAAGTGCATTCAGCAGACTACTAATGCACACAAGCAGAAACTTAAAGCTTTAAAAGAAGTTCATTCGACCTTTAAAAAAGAGTAATATATATATAATGTATTATTTAATTTTTTAATTTGCTTAGTAGTTTCTTATAAACTTTAATTTGTAACAGATGTGAGGAAATGGAAACTGATCATAGAATGGAGACTGATAAACTAGGAGAAGAACTAGAACAAGACATCAGAAAACTGCAACAAAAACTGGTGTCTGAAACAAAACGTAGTGGATGGGAAACATTGAGAAGAACTATCTTTCAAGCAATGCAGAATGATTTTTAATTTTCATGATATTAATTTATTACTTCTTGCTATTAATAACTATTGATTAAAAAGATTCTCCAACTTCTACATGCTTTTGTTTATAATTATCTTAAAATAAATAAAACCAGAAAAAGTTAAAAAATTTCGAAATTTATAGGCCATATTGACAATATATTTTAAGGCTGTTGCTAATTATATGTATATTGTATGGTATTCATGCTATAGTTGTGGAAATAAAAAATGTTTGTGCATCCAATAATTTTGAAAATTAAAGCTCAATTATTTCAATATTATATTTTATACCATTATAATGAATGGGGCTTGTGGCCCGAGGACCACCCAAAAGCCTGTAACTGTCGATGAAGTCACCTTAACCTTGTGTCACTAATATTACGGGATCGGTTTAATGTTTTATTAGACACAAATACCCTAATCATATGAGTAAGTATCAGAGTAAATTAAATATATATAAAATATATTAAATTTAAAATATATGGGTGAAAAAAAAATATAAATCATGATTATGGTATGAATAAGAAAAAGTAATTGTCCTTTAATCATATGAATAGACACTTCCATATTTAAAATGGGCCAAATTAAAAGTATCTAAACAATGAGCATGTATGAGTAAATTTATGGATGTAAAAGAAGTGAGATAATGTCAGTACATTATCTCACACAATAATACAAGGTCTCGGGCTGGGTATGACAATTCTGAGAAATCTTTAGGGCCACATGAGCTGCAAAATGGCTGATAATAGCATGGTTGCATTCTGAGCTGAGCAAGCACTCAGATTGACTAAAATCTGCAATTTTTTTATCATACATTCTAATAGAAATCATTCATACCCTATAAAAAATATCTAGCTACCCTTCTACAAACAATTTGACAAACAAAATTGTATTGTGGCTACATTTATTTTGTTTAGTAACATTTAATAATGAAGTGCTTGATACTTATACCAACACACTCCACTTTTGTATAAACTTGAGGAATTATTTTCTATTATTATTTATTAAATAATTCTTAATAATCATTGTAATATTATTATTTCATTTCGCCTGTGGGCTGTATGTGTTTATTAATTCCTTAAGTACAAAACTATTAAAATCTGTTGGTCGAAGTTCATGAGATTTTCTTCGTTTTGCAATTTTCGTTCATAATTTTTAACAGGGCGGGAGACATTTTGGTCGAAGATTATGTCGACTCGAGACCAATGGGAGCGCGAAAAATGACTAAGGGCATATCGGCGATTGTCGCTTTTTGTCGCTCTAATTACGACCCGTAACACATTTGTCTCCTGTCCACGCAAGAATTATTTAAATATTTTTAAATTATTAACCCCGGAGAAACTGGCTGCCCTTTTGTGAGAATTTTTTATTATGTATACTGGATGACTTTTTTTACCGTCTGAAAAGAAAAATTTTACAAAAATAAAAACAAAAATTTTGAATTAAACGTTTGCAAAATTTTTTTTGAGCAATTACTTTGCCCTTGAGCCTGTAACTTTGCGAAGTGACAAGGTCAAAGATGCCTACTAAATTTATTGTTTTATTGCCGTTCGTAAAGTAGGACGGATATGATTTGAGTTTCGACAGGTAGATGTGCCCAGGTGGGCCAGACAAACAGTCATATTACCTGCTTATTGAGAGGACCGATACTTCGCAACAAAGTTTCATGATGTATCAAACACTTCTTGAAAAATGCGTAATGAGCTCTCGGACCATTACCCGACTGCCTCAGAAGGCGTCTATTATTGAGTATGTGTAATATATATGTATAAATAAACTAAATAACCCAGGATTTGATTGATCTGCAGAATTAGATCAGATTAGATCTGCAAATCAAAGCTTCTTTGATGAATAGACATATTATATAAAAGGATTTTAGACCGGATTATCACGAGTGATGTGAGTAGTTTCTTTACGATAATCGGTAATAACAAAAGTTTACCAAATTTATACTTATGAAATAACATTTATTTTTTAATAAAATGCATTTTCACCCTAGCGGCTCTCTGAAAAAAAAAACAGAACTATGCCTCCTTTATTCCCGAAAGTTAAAATTTGGGTAGCCATAGCAAATTGGGCCATTGTTGGGTCTTAGTTTTCGAAAAACAAAAGTTCATATCGTAACTTAATTTAGAGCGCAATATTGAGATGGCTTGCAACTTTTTGAAACCAGGACTGGTCAGGATGTCAGGTTACAATGATTTCAACAAGTTGCTTGACCTACCATCCATCAAACTTTTCTATGGATGTGGAAAAGGTTATCTGTCACAGAGTACGCGTGGAACTCTGTGAAACCAGATCTTACACTACCAGATTTTCTCTTTTAAGGTTATTAAAAGTATAAAGTTTACGAGAACATCAGGCAAGAAATGAAATATATGCCAATTTATTATTTCATTTATCACAATTTGTAAAATAATGATCAATAGATAATATTACCTTTTTGCAATATCGTTACGAACACATTCGTAGACACGTTGTAGCTTATTACAATTAATTATTATCGAAATTAATATATGCAATGAAAATAATGTAATGTACCGAGTTAACCTATCTATTTATTATTTGCAGAGTTGAAGGGCTTCTAACACGTGGAGCGATGAAACCTGACGACAGGCCGTTATGGTTCGATGTATACAAAACATTTCCTTCCATCGTGGAACCGAAGTTTGCTAGGCCTAAGCCTGAGGCAAACCTATTAGACAAATTCTTTACAAAGAAGACATCACAAGAGCGTAATTACTACTACCTTTACCTAATTACCTAACTTACCTACTTTTACCTAACTCTTTTGCCTTATTTGCAGATTTATTTTTGAGATTGAATATATTCATAGATATCGACTAAAATCGGTTATTGAGTTTTTCCGTCAAGAAATTCTCAGTAGCTGCCCGGAGTCAGGAAGATAGCGGTGTCTCACCCCGGTGCCTTGGAAAGCACGTAAAGCCGTTGGTCCTGTGCCTGATCTCCCTCCGATTGTGTCAATTTACCGTCCCATCGGACTGAGAGTGATGGAATAGAGAGTGCATCTGTGCTTGTGCATACACTTGGGCACTGTAATCCTGTCCTGCACCGATCGCTAGTCTCCGTTGAGTGACCGTCCGTGACTGACTCTGTGACCAAAATTCGGGAATGAGGACATTAGATATCGATACTTATTACGTGATTTACTTAAAGTAGCTATGTTATAAAAATTACAAATACAAAGTATTTATAAGTACATACAAGCATTTTGTTCTGTGATTTTATTACAGGAAATTTCATGCCGAGAGTCATGGCATAGGAATAAATATGTTAAGTCCTGCAGGAGAGACGCAAGTTAAAGAACTAATACAACAATACGAAAAACTTAAATCGGAAGGAGAACCAGAAAATGAGCTTATTGAAAAATCTGTTGCGGCTGTATCCACGGAACGGCAGTTGGATGCCAAAATTTCTCCTAAAAATCCTGATTCAGTTACCGCACAAGTTTTGGCTGAAGCACATTTAAAAAATATATTCAAGGAGTAAAAATATTTTGAAACTATTTTTTTATTCTGTAAATATTTATAACTATTAGTCAGATGTCTTAAAATATTACTTATTATTTAAATGTAAGTAGAATTTTTAGAAATAAATAAACAATGAGAAAAAATTCTTTTTTTTTTTTGTTGCATGCCATAGTTGATACCTGATATATGGCACTAGCGCCTTCTAGTATCGAGTAGCATAAATAGGAGCGTCAATATCTTTCTAGATCTTTCAACATTCTACTCGAAGATTCTAGATGTTTTCGGTGGATAAGGTCCTATATAAAGTTGGTGAGGAGCGCGACTGACTCATATTGAATTGGCGATACAAGTGAAGACTCCGAATCGATATACCTGCGAACTAAAGTATTAAGTGTGATTAATGATTATTAGTGTGTTAAAGTTTTAATTGGTGTTCGGTAATTAAAGTGTCAGTTTTGGTAATCCAATCTGCAGTTTTTATTGTCACGAACCCTAAGCTCGTAACATTATATTTTAGCCGACTTTAATTTTTATTAAGGAGGAGGTTCACACTTTGATTGTATGATTTTTTAATGTATGTTACGCAATATCATCGTCAATCAAAACCCAATTTTAAAGATTCTAGGTTATACCTCGGGGATAGTCCCATATAAATTCGTAAAAAAATTTCTACCTCAAAAGATATTTACGTGGTAGAGCCATGCTGCAGCTATATTATTGGTATAGTTGTAGCAGGAATGGGTCAGCTCGACCGGGGAAGGACCACGCTCTAACGGAATATCAGCGTCAAACAGCAGCTTAACGCTGGTGTATTTCGTTTGGTGAGTGTAGAGAACCGGATATCCTTTTTACTGGAAACGAGGCATTCCTGTGGCTATCTGCATTTTGATTTGTTGTCGAGGATGGATGCAGATGTCTATGGGTCACAGCAACCACTTACCATCAGGTGGACTGTGTGCTCGTTCGCCACCCTTACACTATAAAAAAAACTCAAAATGTGGCAAAATAGGGGTGAAGTTTTTAATGTTACTATTTAGACGACATTGAGATTGTGATATTTCCTAATTCACCTAAAAGGGTAAAAAAAGAACTTTATTTATGGTTTTCAATCATACATATTCTGCGAATGGTTATTTTTCATACATCCTGCTAGGATTTGAACACATGACTCAGTGATCAGGTACTTACTAGGTTATACTTTACTATAACTTAGCTTATTATCAACACTTCTATGAGGGGTAGAAGTCGTAGCCCGTAAGATACACTATAAATTGCAATTTGTCATACTCACATTCAATACTTACCCAATGTAACGTTTTCGACAGACGCATATTATATGCACGATTGAATTCCACTAGGAGACGTTCATGAATTACGTGAGGTGTTTAGGGGAAAAGGGGGTTTAGTCGTATCTCACTTGGGGTAGAGGGAGGGTCTCGACAAATATACATAATATTTTTTCGCAAGAAACAGTGTAAAATTTCGAGGAAATTGGTTTAAATTAATTCCTACACAGCAATATTTAACTCCACAAATTATATAAATATAATCAAGCAAATTATGTTTATTTTTTAAATTAACGCAATCAAGCACAGATTGTCGTATTTATAATACTGAATAACCTCGTGAGTTTTGGGGATGAGTGGTATAATTTACAAAATTACAAAATTTTTTTTATACTTTAAATCAAAGTCCCGCTGGGTGTCTAGCTGGTTCTTCCCAGGACACAGGTTTTTTCAACCGAGTGGAAAATGTAAAAAATGTTCATTAAAAATTACTTGTAATTTTGATGGAATCATAAAAAATTATTTTTAAATAATAAATTTTTTTTTAAAATAAAAAAAATTTTAAAAAAATTACAAACCCGAATTTTTTTTTCATTTATTCTATTCTTATCTTTCTTATTGGTACCTACCGCCTATTGCCTTTGAGTACCAGTAGGTACTAAAAACAACTAACTACCAAAAAGGAGAAAGTATTTGTTTTTTCCGATATTTTCGCTGTTACCAGTGAAATCCATTTAGTCTTCTTTTGTCACATTTTATTCTATATAAAATAATTTTTATTTAGTTTATTGTATTGTAAATAAGAGCGATAATTCTCAAACGACATGTGTCAAGACGACATTTTTTTTTTGTTATTAAATGATAGAACATGTAAGTATGTACGGATTATAAGTTAAAGTTGATTTTCTTCACCAGCCTGTAGAACTCCATTGCTGGACTCTGCTGTTGTGGGGTCTACGTCTACCACAGTATATTTTATGAGGGAATGTTTTGCCTTAATCGTAATGCTTGTCAGGCGGGTTGACGATCGCAATAGGTACCAGACTTGCACCATTGACACTGCTGCGCGTCGCTGGTCTAGATATTTCATGTCTGGCGTAAATGAGATAGTATAACGCCGTATTATTTTATAGGAAGCCGTAAGACTTTGCCAGCATTTCTCTTAACCGCCTTTCGATAAAATGGAGAAGTTAATTCTTTTACGCCACAAGCACCGCATGATGCTGATGGTGAATGGGTGTTAATGAGGGCTTATAATATTCCGCTCAGCAGATGTGGCTAGTTGACACTGAGGTGAAGTCTATTGTTATACAAAGTTATTTAACTGAGAAATTAATTTTAAACAAAAAAAATCAGTTTCTAGAATACTATATTAATACACAAAACAAACTTTTAGTATAATCCGTAGTTTCGTTTATTAATTTCTAATGTAAATAATATAGAACGATCCATTATGTAACCCTTACATTTTCCTAAGAAATTGACTGCCGCGGTATAAAATTTGTCAAATATTTCACCTCATTCCAAAATAGCGCCGCCCGGGTGACAGAAAAAGTCGTGGATGTCCTCATTGATGCCTAAAAATGCTATAAAAGTTTAATAACCGATGCCCTTGCAGCCGTGCCCTAGGTAAAAATGCTATAAAAGTTTAATAACCGATGCCCTTGCAGCCGTGCCCTAGGTAAAAATGCTATGAAAGTTTAATAACCGATGCCCTCTGCAGCCGTGCCCTAGGCCAGTACCTTTGAATCCATCAATACCTATTATCATAAACGGTGCAGCTGGATTATCGTTATTATAAAGAAGTCGGGAAACGCCATGATTTGAAAAAAAATACTTTAATATTAACATTGTGTTTATATTTCCATTTCACAAGCCCAAAGCGCGAAGTAACAGCGTAGCGTAGGTGTATTAGTAATCATTATCTTATCTATGAGATAAAGGTGTGCTAAAAACACACCCGTGCTTCTATCGTCGTAGAGTAAGGATAACTCTTGACTAAAATTGTGTTTTAATTTAAGTATTTATTGCATTTGGTTCAGTGATCAACTAGAAAAATGGCGGAAAAGAAGTCCTTGTTGTTCTACTTCGCTGTTATTTTAGGTAAATTATACGTTATTGTGAATTATTTTTTCGAAGCATTGATGGATGGCGTGACGATTTTTGTGACCAATTCTTCCTATTATGGCAGTCGATAATTGGTTATTTCATTTGAAACTACCTAAGTTAGGTGTTTACTGCTTGGTATTTTTATTTATGACAAATTTGAGTTAGCTAAAGATCTCTAAAAGGAATTGTAGGTACTTTATGTAAGATAAGTTTGGTTACGAAATTAGTTACCTACGTATTGTCTTTTCTGGCAAATTTTGTTCGCAGGAACATAACTGTGTGACGATAATAATAGTTCTTTGTTTTGCTTCGAGTTGGTACTGGATCTAGTGAATTACAATTCAAGTAGGTACCTACCGATGTTATTAATTCAGCTATGAGAAATTAACATAAACCTAACAGTACCTTAATTCGTCCCTGATATAGGTATTAAGAATAAGGTGAAGAGAAATAATGTATTAGGTACGGTGAAACCTTACATCTTTGCCCACATATTTTGGTTTTTATTACTTTTTTCAAAAACTATCCACTTTATTTTGATGGTTGCTAAAGCTTTAAGCGACACTATGTGCAACAAATAAACTGTCAAAACCAGGTGAATTAATTCCTAACAGATGCTGAGAAAAAAACAAAAACAGACGCGGACAAAGTTATCTCCACTTTCTTACATTTTTGCTCAACCTAAATTTCTCAGCAACTATAAGCTCTATGATTTTGATTTTAAGATATATTTTTCAAATAAATAGAAGTCCATTTTAAGTTTTAATGGCGGTGGGCAATGTTATCACCACATTTAGTCACACTTTCATACTAAGAGATTTGAGGTGCTAGGGCTGTGCATCAGATGAAAGGAAAATAATAAATTGATTTTGAGGCAATATTGTATTTCTTATTTTTAAAATTAAAAAAAACAACTATCTAAACAACAAAAATCAAAAAAATCAATGTTTAGGTAGGTAGCGTACCTGTTAGTTACCTGCGTGAGTAGTTTCTAAAAAAAGAAATGTAAGCATCGCAGAAATTTTTTATCACACGCACCCCAGGCAGATTATGGCTCCTCATACAAAAAAATAATAAGATATCTCTTCTAGAACAAAAAATAGAAAAATTAACATATAACAGCCTACAACATTATCCTTATAGTGCTTAGTTCAAGAATTACCTTCTGAAATTGACAAATTTAAAAAAAAAAAAACTACTTACTAACAGTCTTTGATGTTACCCTTAAGATTCTAGCTAATAATTGTAGGTATAAGTATATACACTTCTCATCAGAAAAATCTATACACCTCACGAGTTTATGTTTTTAAAGATTATCAAAAAAAAAATAGTTTTAATCAAAGTTTAAAAATAGGCAGCCGTTTGAGCACTTCACGTGGATTTAAAGGACAAATTCC